CATCACATTAATACATATCACCCACTATACAAGCGTTTTAAACTAATGTCATCTTTATTGTCAGCATGATAGTTCAGTGGTTAGTGCAGTTGTCTCACAGCAAGAAGGTCTTTGGTTCAGTCCTCGGTTTGGATCTGGAGTCTTTCTGGGTTTGCATGTTCTTCTCGCTTGTGTGGGTTTTTTCCAGGTACTCCAGAGTCCTCCCACAGAGAAAACATGCATGTCAGGGGTGGTTCTAGGGGCGGGGCCACAGGTGCATTGGCCTTTGCTGAAATCTGATTGGCCCCCTGAAGTGCCCGTGTCCTGTCACTCATCTGTCCTTTGCTTGAGAGCGATGGTGGTGGTTGCAGTTCCATGTCCAAACACTAGAGGCGCTAATGAGTCAAATAGTAAATTCCAGCATAAATCATTCTTACAGAAGTCTTCTTTAAACGACTTGAACAATTTTGCAAAAAATATCTTCCAACTGGCAAATGGCTTAATTTTCTCACATGCTTTAAGAATATTTTATCCATGTACATTAAAATTGCATGTAAAATTGATGAGGAAGCTTTTTTAATAACATTATATTACGTTGCAATTTTTGGAAAATATGTGACCGCTTAAATTTATACACCTTACCAAAACCGAGGATTTTAAGGATGTTGAACAAACACTTGGCCCCTCTATGAATATTGTGGCCCCATGATGGTCCCTTACTCAGAAAAATCCTTGATCCGCCACTGTGGTTGCTTCCTTGCAAAAAGAGATCCATGATCTTAATGGGATTTGCCTCGTTGGATTAGGATTAATAAATAATAAAATGGTGACAAAGGACAGAATTACAGACACGTTAGTCAAACCTTGTAAATGATGATATGTGCATTCATTCACATCTGGTGAGTGATGTTAGAACACAGAGTATGTGTTGAGGAATAATCAGCTACAACCACACATAAATTTGACCTTAATCTACAGTATGTAAAAATCATCTGTTTTAAGCATTTTTGTGGTGTTGAAGGTTGTTTAGCTCTGGTGGCCATTTTGAAATGGGTTGATTGTCAGAACATAAATTACTTCTATTCATAGTAGAACAGGTTACTTCTGTTTTGCTTAAAAATAGCAATTGTTAAAGGTATACAGTACGACACATTATTTTCTAAAAATTATTCTCATTCACCAGAATTAACCACTTGGGTGGATTATATCTATTTGTTTATTGCTGAAGGAGAAGACATGCTAATGTTTTTCTCCTTGTTTGTCTGTGTGTGCGAGAGTGTTGGTGTGTAAAGTGTGAAAAGTAAAAAGAAAAAAAATATACACTGTATATAAAGATAGTATTTAGGTGATGAAGACAAAATCAAAACATTTGTTTTACTATAAGGTGCATGTTTTGGGATAATCATCATTTGATTCAGAAAAAAGGGGTTTCTTTTTATTGTTGTCTTTTTTTGTCACTACAATATTAAAAGAAAAATATTACACAAAGTATCTTAGTTTTTGCAAGATCAAGTTTACAGTGAAGAATAAGAGGTGAGGTTGTAATAAAAAATAAAATATGTAAAAAAATTACTCAAACCTAAAATATCCTCAGTGTGGACTACTGTGGCCTTGTTTCATGTTTAATTCAACCTCGCCATCTGCTGGTCAGAAAACATAAAGAAATTATTTTTGAGGCTCTTTTTGTATTGTTTTTTTTTTCTCTCTCTCTCTTATTGGTACATTTTGTTTTAACAGAATTAGATGGTGAAGCAGATCATTTATGTGTGAACAATGTTATTATGTTGCTAACTTCTATTAACTGTTTTCAATCTGATTTCTCATTTGACTGTTTTCTTGCTGCCTTTAATGAGCCTGTAATTGTTTTGATCATTTTAATCAGTGACATTGGGGTTAAGAAACAAAAACAAAAACATTGTTTACTAAATTATTGAGGTAGATAATATTTTTGGACTTGCAACCAGGTGTCCCCCGCTCCTCGAACAGTGACTGAGCCTGAGAGGAAGAAGCAGGTAAAAGGTAATGAATAGATAAATCAATTTATTTGGGTTTATTGTCATATAGTTAGCACAACAATTTTATGGAGCATTTGTTTAAATGTGTTCAATAATGTAAGAAAATCTGGTTGGTGGCAGTAAAACTGAAAATAAACTCAAAAAACACATTGTTGGATTTACTGAACCAAGTTATGTCAACAATTTCCACTCAACTCAGCTTAGTAAGACTAAAAGAAATTTCATATTTTCTTTAAAAATAAATTTGAAAGTGGCTTTACAATTCCTCAGCTCAGTTGAGCAGGAATTGTTACCACAACTTGGTTTAGCAAATCCAACACATTTATTTTTGAGCAGTGGTGGACAGTAACAAAGTACTTTTACTTTATTACTGTAATTAAGTACATTTTTTGAGTATCTTTACT